GGTACAAAGAAAGGAGGCGTGATACAGCAACAGGACGGCTTGGCTGATACAGATCAGAATTAAAACATTAAATATCCAAAAGAAAAAACAAGGTTGTCAACTCATAAGGATCACTTGCATGGTGTGTTAAAGCTTTCTTTTTGAAAAATACTGTGTTTGCAAGAAGTATGGACTGCCTCTAGCCCTTTTGACAGAAAATTACATTTTTCTGCAATCCCTGCTGTATTGCATATTAGACATTCAGATACTTGAACATAATGTTTATTTTCAATACCAGTACGATGTCCTTCTCAAAGACATTTAAATAAAGGTCCTTTCTGTAATTTCTCTGTTTAGGTACAATACTTGTGGCTTTTATATGGGATGAAATCCTTCCTCGGATATCCTGAGACATCAAATTCTGAAATCTAGCAGTACTACACTGAAAAATACTTTCAACATCTGCAGGCATGAAGCTTTAGGAAAACCGTTGACATCAACTTCCATACCACCTTTCAGTTGTATTTTCAGATTTCATGTTTGAAATATTTGACTTGCAACTTTGTATTCAAGTAATATTTTGTAATAGCCTATCAGGATTTTGAGAGTATCTATCTGCCAACATTTTCAGTTAAGCCATATGAATGTGAAGGACTGTTAAAACATTGAAACTTTGTCACTTTAGCCATAAGTGCCATTTGCTGACCTTTATTACAACAACTTGTGAAACTGATTTTAGAGAAATACCCAGTCCTTTCAAGGTTTGATTTTATTGGATTTCTTCCCGTAGAAGGCACCTGCAAAAAAGGAGCTGAAGATTTCATTCCTATAGTGACCTCATCATATTCCTACTTGCAGTATATGTACCCTCTGAGGGGAAGAAAGGCTACACTACTCCCTAGAAGAGTCTCCACAGCTCTATTCTAGACATATCCTACACCAAAAGTAAAAATCCGTAGGACCAGCATTGTTTTAATAATATTCAAGTGCAGGTGAGTAACCCCTCGCTTCCTTTCAGGAAGGCTCTGCCCCATCCTGTCCCGCTATAGTCTGTTGAATATTTATCTTGGTTGGGAAGAGCGATAAAATTCTGTAGACACACATGTAAAAGTATATTTTAGGGAAAAAAATCCCCTACGTTATCCAAGATTACTGCTGCCTTTTCACATAGTCAAATAGACACAGTATATAGGGATGAATCATGCGCAACTGTATTTATCCTTGATTTCATGTAACTCTTATCAGGTATTTTTCTTTAAATAAATGAATTTGAAATATAAGAGAATAAATAAAAGAGCTAAAACCACTTGAAAGCTACATGCACAAACATGCCCTTTATAGCTTCAGCTGAGGTGAAGAGCACTGATAGGTACCAGTCCTCTGAAGTTCCGTTTCTAGCAGGTGGTTTCTTCTTCTTCTAGATGCCTCCCAATTTTTATATATATACCAAAAGATATTTTTCAAATTTAAGACTTAATTCAGTTTTTCACTTTGTAAGTACTAGGTTTGAAAGGAGAGATGGTTAACAAGATGTACAAAAATCCCAGTAGTTGGCCCCTCTACTCATTACCTAAGTCACCTTGCAGACCATATTCTAAGAGGAAGGGAGGGAATCCAACAGGTTTTTTTGCACAGCAAAATTATGAACAGAGTCTTAAAACAGCTGCTGTTGTCAGCTATCTTTTTGCAAGAGTCTGGGAAGGAAGTATTTTCATGTAATTTCTTACTTGTTGCAATAAAATCTTTTCTCATTTTAATTTTCCAAGGTACAATTAAGATTATATCATAAAATGAAATCAACTGTTTGGACATGCTTTTCATACAGAAGAGTCTTAATCCATGACCCTGTATTCAGTCATTAAAATAAATTTTAAAAAAAAGTAGCACTGAAGAGAACTAGAACTGCTGGGGTATCATTCAGCAGCACTTTGACACCAGTGTGAGTAGGCCTACTAAAGGAAACTTACGTTTGGTAAAGCTCTTCACAGCAAGGACTACACTCCGCCACACTCTGAGCCTGGTAAGATGTGATCCTTTAGCGGTTTTATGTTCATCTGCTTATTTATAACTCCGCCACAGAGGGCTGCCAGAACAGAAACCCGATGCATGAGACCTCTGAAAAACATGTACTTTTATACCACGTCCTGCTAAAACAGATGTTTTGGGAGTGTCGTGGTTTAGCCCCAGCCGGCAACTAAGTACCACGCAGCTGCTCACTCACTCCCCCCTGGGACGAGGGAGAGAATTAGGAAAAAAACCTCGTGGGTTGAGATAAACACAGTTTAATAGGACAGAAAGAGAGAAGGAAACAACAATGATAATACCAACAAAGGAATGTACAAGAACAAGTGATGCCCAATACAGCAATTGCTCACCACCCAGTGATCGACAGCCCGTCCCCGAGCAGCGATTTCCGCCCCCGGCCAACTCCAGTTTATGTACTGGGCATGACGTCATATGGTGGGGAATATCTCTTCGGCCAGTCTGGGTCAGCTGTCCTGGCTGTGTCCCCTCCCAGCTTCCTGTGCACCCCCAGCCTCCTTGCTGGCAGGCCAGCACAAGAAGCTGGACTGTCCTTGACTGCTTAGCAACAACCCAAAACATCAGCACATTATCAACGGTTTCTCATCCCAAATCCAAAATACAGTCTCAGACTGGCTTCTGTGAAGAAAACCAGCTCTATCCTGGCTGAAACCAGGACAGGGAGGCTTCTGCCTGTCACTTTCTTGCTTTACTGCTTTTTATGATTTTTACCTATTTTTAAAGTGATCCATACTGTATAGATCCCACCCACCACCCCCGCCCCCCAGGACTTTGCCTTTACTGGTGTACTCAAGCCCAGTTTTTAGCTTCATTTCTTACAGAAATGAGCCTTACCTAATGAACTGATTTGCATGTCTCCTTTGAGCCCATGAGGTTCACAGGGTAAAGGTCTCAAAAATAAATCTCAAAGAGCATAAAAACAGGTGGACAGGGAAAAGAAAAAGCAGAAACACAAACCTACAGGAAGCCAAGATTTGTTAGATTAGAGGCTCTACTTCCATGTTACTTTTGACAGCCTGCAAAAGCAAAGTCCATCAAGCAAAGAAGTCAGCTCTGACTTCTGTATGTCTGCAGTGTTTATTTTGGCATAGCGTATAGTTTAAAAAAATTTGGTACAAATCTGGGTGTTTAACAACTAGTTGTCCTATTTATAGCCACTGGAATTAAAAAAAAAAACCCAAAACACTAAGAAATGGACAAGTCTTAAATTGACTAAATTAAGGCAAAACAAAAGCAAAAACTGAAGTAGCCAAAAGAATGAAATAAAATTAAGTTACAAACTGAAGAATTTAACTGTTTTTGTAGCACAGACAGAAATTAATATTTTACATGCAAAATAAGGCACACTTCATAAGCAGTCATAAGCTGAGCAAGCTGGTCTAGTTGAAGATGTCCCTATTCATTGGTGGGGGGCTGGACCAGATGACCTTTGGAGGTCCCTTCCAACCCAAACCATCTGTGATTCCCTAAGTGTTCCCAGAAGGCTTACCTACAGCTTAAATACAAAGTTTTATTGAACATAAAATGTGTAAATCCACACAAGACACTTCTCAGTGCTACCTTCAGGGCTCATCCAGGTTTGTTTCTGCATCACCAAAATTAATCTTGCTCCATTGATTTGACTGGAAGCATCACAAGATGTCTGCTCCTGGTGTTCTAGTTAATTAGTACAAAACAAATTCTCCCTCTGGAGCTTCCTACTGCTCAGAGATTGCGTGAGAGCAATGAGAGGAGCTGAGTATAGTCCACCTGCTCACCTACCAGGGTATGTGGCAGTTAGTCTGCAGTTATTGAATAACAATAGAAAGACCACACTCCAACAACCAAGTTTTATACACACACACACAAAAAAAACCCCAGTCTGTTTTAACCATGAACAGTGATTTGGAATTGTACGGGCTTTCTTTCCTAAACAATGGTGTTTGGTAGTTTTAGTACTCCTTAGGTGTCCCAAAAAATCTCACCATGCAAAGATTCTCCCAATCCCAGTACAGAAATTAAAAGCATCACTCCATACCCTCCTTTGTTACTCTGTATCCCTAACAAAAACATGCATACATTTACATAAATACATGCACAGATATGCACATAAAGGGGCTAGGAGTGACATTCTTGTAGAATGTCTTGTTGCATAACACGCTAAACACTTCAATTTATTGAGCAACAACACTATTCTATCATCACTAATTTGACTGTCATTCCTAATGAATGTTCAATAAAGATGGTTATAATTTTCAAGTACCTTGAAACTAAACCACACCCCAACGTGCTAAGCAGGGCAGGACCACTCAGTATGATTCCAGCAGTGTAGGGCTGGTAAAGAAAACTGTTCATATATCAACATAATAGTACTGAAAAACATTCATAAGTTATATTCAAATCTAATGAAAGCAGAAAAAGTTTAGTATCAGACTTTCATTTGAATTGGGGGAGGGGGAAGGAATTTAATTTGCTGCCATTGCCCCATGGCAAACACACCACTATGCAGAGAGATGAACCTGTAAAAGCTCCAACAGGACTAAGCTCTTGGCAATCTAAAGCTGGGTTCCTAAGTTTGGGATGTATCGGACTATTCTGTCTTACAGGCACACTCTGCCCAGGTAAATGATGAAAACGGCTTCACTGGACTTTTTTTTGCAGAAGAGAGTGCTAAAACTCTGGATGTCAGCTCAGAGTTGCCAGCCATTTGCTGAAGTGAAGGACTGAGAACTGTAACACAGAGTTGGTTGTGAGATACAAAAATCTTAGTTTATTTAACAATGTTGTTAACATTTAATACAAAGACACAAAACAGTTCTCTCTTTCAGGACTTTACAGACTGTATTCCATCTTCTCTACCACCCAAACTGCTCTCAGAGAAATGAAAGGGATAGCACTGAACTGATAAAGCCAGTTACTTGAGGGGCATTAAATTTAGCTTTGCTTTTAATCCTTGTCCGACCCTATTTCCTTTTAGTTGAACTTTGTATCATGTCTATTTCCATTGTACTGCACTGACTCAAATGAACAGGTACAAAAATATGGAAATTCCAGGAACAATCTAAAATTCTGTTCTACTTACAGTTCTATTTCTGAAGTCCTAGAATTCCTACAAAGGCTTCTTTGAAATGACCCCTGATTAGCCCCATTCAAGTGTTAGATGCAAGAGGTTTTATTGTTTTTTGTTTGTTTTGTTTTTTTAAATAACCCCATAGTGGTCATAAATGTCAAACCCTGTTTTAAACATCTATAAAAGCATTTATAGACCTAGATGTCTAAGCTTAGGTCATTAAAAGAAATGTTAACTCCCGATAGTCACTGCAATGCCTTCAGTTTTACAGCTTATTCTGGAAGTGCCACAAGAGGAATCTGAAAGACACAAGATACCAAGTTTACGTAATTGGCATTAAAATAAAAGCTTATTAATCTTTACAAAGTAGTAGCTATCTGTTGTTTGCAGTCACAGAGGACAGCACTTTTACTGCAAACCTGCTAATTTTCAGAAGGGCTGAGCATCTTTGCCTTTGACAGCAGCTCTCAACCCAGGTCAGCTAAGGACAGCATGCGCTTACAGTCTGCAGTTGCACGCCTGTGCCCTGGAAGACCCCGCTGCACCGCCACGCACAGACACACCAGTTGCTTCAGAACAATTACTGCAACCTCGTGACGTGACAGACAAAACACCGCTTATTACAAGACCAGTGGAAATGTCCCACATCAACTGTCAGCAAGTCTTCCAGGAGCTTCAGCAGGCAACTGTCACATCTCATTTGGGTAACGAGCAGTAACATGCAACATGAGCATCCCACAAGGGCATTGCTTTCGAGGCAGGACAGCACGTTGCTCTCTAAAGGATAACAAACAAGATGTTCCCGTAGATCGTTTCTGAAGTTCAGAAAGTTAAAAGGGCTGAGCTGCTCCACAGGGTACTGAGAAGATCACAGCATGCTTCCTCTCTGCCCCTATTTTCAGAGGGTACAACCAAGCTGCCCTTATGCTCAAACTTGTTAGCAGGGTGATTAGCACAGACCTCCAAGAGCTTGTCATGTCACACCTTCAGTTGTTTATTGCTGCCGTGTATCCTAGATTTTTGAACTTACTTAAATTACATCACCACGCTCAGGCTGGTGCTTACTTAAAAAAGGCCCATCACACCCACAGCTCCCAAACTGCTACCCAGAGCACCATCACTGCAACGCTTGACACTGCACGTGCAGATCACTTGATCTGCCCTGACAGGGATCAGCTCCTCAGCTCTGATCAGCACAAGCAGGACAGAAGGACACCCTACCCTATCACCTCTCACAGCTTTAATCTCCCACAGCCACCTGCCACACCGTGGACAGCATGTAGTAGTTCCTCTAAGCAGCAGGAAGAACTCCACTGACCAAAACTTCTTTTCACAGGGTATATTTTGCACTTCGCTAAATCAGTCAATGGCACTTCCACCAGCACTTTTAGGCTCCTTAGCGATCTGCTACCAGCCAATAACACTCCTTAATCCTGCTCAAGTTTAAACCAGGACAACAAGCATTCAAATTTGAACTTTCAGCTGCAGGTTTGTTGGTTTTTCGGGGTTTGTTTGTTTTTTTTTTTTTTTTGGCCAGAATCATCTTGGAGATGGAATCACCACAGCCAAGCCTTCCATTCACTAAGAGTCACCCCATCTGCAGCTGAAGAGTTTTCCTTAGTTTTAAAGCATGTCCTTTAAATTATGGGATAATAAAATTATCAAATAAGTTAACTGTCATAGCTACAACCAGTATGTTGACTTTTTTTTGAATGATTCTTCTCTGTACTGCAAAGTTTTTCCCACGGTAAGAAGAGCAACTGAAGAAAAGTCTGAGCTCTTGCACCAAACAATAAATACTAATTCAGCACCAGTGGCAGTGGTTGAGATCAGAAATCTCAGAAAAACAGAATTTCAGAAATACAGAAACAAAAATAAGTAACAGGAGGAAAGCAGATACGCATCACTCCTCTGCAACAGCCTTTCTCAAGGACTCCATCCTCTTTCTCAGTGATGCTGTAATCCCTAACCAACTACTTCTGACCTGTTTCCATCAACTTTTTTCAGCATGTCATCTTCTTATTTGTGGCCGTTTCCTTCCCTGCCCCTTTCCTTTTTTCTCCTGCAAGCTCTCAGTTGTCTGTCCCACAACTGTTTTCTCCAGCATTTCAAGTGAGAGAGCTCTGTGCTCACTTTAAAGCAAGAGTCTCACTTCCAAGACACGCGGAAGAACTGGTGCACGTGCAAACTGTGCACTAGCGGGCACTGCTGAAGCAGAGGTGGAATCACAACCCCGCTGTGCCTGTGCATCACCGCAAATGCAGTCCCAAACTAAGCTGCTCTTCCTCTCCTGCGCAGCACCAGCCAGTGAGGAAACGCTGGCACATCTTGTAATGCCACGGACAGGAGAAAAGCAGTGCAGGTGATGGTAGGCAAGAGGGCACGCTGGCACAACCACCTAAGCAGGGTGCTGTCTCCAAGTTACGCACTTCTGACGACAATCCCATCCAGATTGCTCAGTAACTTTACCAGGAGCTGTTCCTGCTCCACTTACAGGGAAGGAAGGAATGGACTCGCAGTGCTGTGAGGTGTTCTGCCCCCTTGAAAGGCCTGGGAAATCTTGCATGCTAAGGGTGAAAATACAGATACTAAGGACAGTAACTTCCCAGCAACAGCTCCAGTGTTCATATATCAGCATCTGAGAGCCTCTGAGATCAGACAATTCTTAATTTACCAAACGGCTGTCCTGTCTTCCAGACAGGCACGTCCACATAGGTTACCCACGCAGCACAATGGTTTATGCTGACAGGCAATTTTGAACAGATCACCTTTCCATACTTGTGATATCTACAGCTACCTTTTCCTTCTCTAAATCACCATCGTCCTGATAGCACAAGATATTTCCTCTAGGAGATCTGGGATCATCTGCATTACACAAATTACAGAGACGGAAGGCTGTGCAGGACTGAAAAGCACTGGCATTGGAAGACAGAAGAACTTACAGCAGCATACATCCTCCTCAGTGATCGACTTCGGCGTCTTCAAACTGCCCCGCAACTACTGGTGCTACGTCAACCTCCATCCCATCTGGAAAAAAAACAAAACAAAACAAAACAGCCAACACTATGTAATGCCGCAGGCTCGCAAGCAGGTGATGGTATCACACGAAAGAGAGCGAGTGCCCTCTGTTGACAAGAGATGTCCAAAATAGAAAACTCCTTTGTGCAACTGCTGAAAGCAGCCTAAGGCAACTGCTGTGCTCACAAGTTTGTGGTTTTGTACCAGCTTTATCAGTCGGTCACTTAAAGATGTCACCGCTTCCTACAACGTTGTCTCACCCTATTGTATTAAAAGACTTAAATACCAGATTTAAACTATTTCATTTTTTAAATTAAGTTTTGGTGCAACAAATGGCATGATTCCTTTTAAGAGCTTTTGTTACGCTCTAACAGAAGGAGGTTGGATCCTCTTCCGAAACCACTCTCAGCAATCAAATTGAAAAAAGGAACAACCACTCAGTGCTACAATGTCAAAAAATAACAGAATTCTGAAACTGAGCAGCCCTGGGGTTATTAATAATTGTAGCAAACCAAGAAGCAGTACTGTAGCAAATAAAATTATATGAAGGCACATAAAACTGATGACGATGGCTTTGAGATACATGACATACTTGCTGTTCAATTTATTTTAATTTTCAAAATTTTGGGTTTCAGAAACCTGACAAAATTTTCAAATGAAGGGAACTGCTAAAACACGAGTATATCACCCAAGGTTATCTTTACATTATATACATTTATTCAAAGTTGTGCAGCAAAGAGAACCTGTAAACAACTGACAGAAAAAAGAGATTAAAAAAATCACCCATGTGGATGAGAATGGATTAGTTATTGTTCTGTTGCCTATTCTAGGCAAGCTGATAGCTAGAAATTCACAACAGCTGCATCACTTTTCATCCTTCAAAAACATCAGGCCATACACTAAAACACTGCAATTTGTATCAAAAAATGATGACAGACTACTAAACTACTTCTTTGTTCTTCTCCCAAGTAATATATTGCTCCAGTGAAAACAGCATGCAGAAAAGGTAAGATTTGGGAGACTGGGGTTTTTTTTTCCTGACAAAAAGAAGCTTTACTCCTTAAATACGTTTGAACATTAAGAGTCAGCATCTTTCATAAAAGTAGATTTATTTTATTTTAAATCTGTTCCAGTGTATTTCAATGATTCTGAATTCACACTGAACTCTATAAAGAGAATCATTAACTTACAATTTAGGGTATTAAAAAAAAAACAAACTATTACCTGTTTAGAGTGGAAACTGCTTCCTAATCCTAGTGTAGGCTGAGAAGTTTATTTTTTTTTTTAAATCCTAAATTAACTTTACCCTACCACTATTCCAGGAAACCATACCAGTAAGAATCAAGAATTCTTAACGCAGTGGTCCTCACTCTGCAAACACAGTAACCCTCAATCCACAGAAGGCACCGTGTTGCCGGCAGGACCACAGGCTTTTTTACAACCTGTGGTTGGGAACAAAGATAAAACAGCTGTTGATGCATACAGCATGGTAAGGTATCACCCACAACACGATACTTGCTCAGTGCTGCTGTCTGTGGATTAGCCAGACTTGAGAACCACTGCTTTCATATATACTTTAGAAAAGTATAAGATTCTATACTGTCTATAGGATAGTATAGAAAAGGATTTCTTACCTTCAAACTCCCTTATCGAGTCTTCTGTTCTCACTCCAGCCATGTTGTACTGACTGCTGACAGACTGGGCTAACATGCCTTCTAACCTCTCCAGAGTGGCCTGACCTTCTGCAGTTAAATGCGACAATCCTTCTTCGTAAGTGTAAAAGGTTGGGATGTCACCTTGTTCTAGCTCTGCAAAAACAAGTTCATGTTTATCAGACCTCATTTTAGGAGCCTGCAGCAAGCAGGAGGAATAGACTCGTAGAATAGTTTGGGTTGGAAGGGACCTTTCAAGGCTGCCTAGTCCAACCCCCTGCCATGACCAGGGTCATCTTCAACTAGAGCAGGTTGCTCAGAGCCTGGGATGTTCCCAGGGATGGGGCATCGACCACCTCTCTGGGCAACCAGGGCCAGTGGTTCACCACCCTCATTGTCAAAAACTTCTTCCTTAGAACTAGTCTAAGTCTGCCCTCTTTTAGTTTACAACCATTACCCCTTGTCTTATCTCAACAGGCCCTGCTTAAAAAGTCTGCCCCATCTTTCTTAGAAGTTATATTATATAGGACAACAATATTTGTCTATTACATAGACAAATTATGCTCAGATTAACTGACTGAGATTAAAAGGATGCTTCTATCAGTTACGAGTATACACAGTGATGTGAACTGCCCATGCCACAGTAATGGCACTGAACTTGTGCTAGCACATCCACTGGGAACAGGAAAGGCTCATACTTGCATCTTGGGGCTTTTCAGAATGAGAACAATGTTTTTTCTGAGTTTCAGTGATTTGTGAGAGCTAAACTACAGATTTTCTGCAGATTTCTGAGGTTTTTATACTGTGCCTGTGGCATAAAGAATGTTTCAGCAAGATGATTAATAAGCAAGGAACTTCTTAACAGACCAAACCATTCTCACGACAGGTACCGTAGGAGAAGTTCCAGGTATCCAAGTGCTGGTAGGTATTTCAAAAGAAACAACCGTTACGAACCGTGAGCCTCAACATCGTACTCCTCCCCTTCATAATCGTTGTCTGAATCTTCATCATCTGGGTCTGGGTGCAGAGCTTGGCATTCACACATTGCTGAAAACATAGCTTCCACTGTATGAACAAAACAGAATTATCTTCTGGGCAAGCAGCCAAAAAAAAATTTTAAAAAAGATGCTAATAGTTAACTTCCAGTGTTTTCCGTTGGCTGCCATGAACTGCAAATCTCCCACCAGCCAAGGCCAGGACTCCCAGGAACCATGCTTGTGCAGTCACGCTCCCATCCCAGCTGGAAAAGGGCAACTTCAGCTAAGACGCTGTTAGAAGCGGCTCCTTAAACTGTATCTTAATACCTTGTCCATTTTCATGCATCACAAACCAAGAAGCCAATGCTTCAAGGTTAGGAAATTTAAGGAAAGAGCTGATGATTTACAACCAATTTTTTGGTCCTGCACAGCCACAACCAGAGAACACAGGGATACTAGAGGCAGCATTTCCCAAAATACATGAGGGTGGTCAGGAGTTGCAGAGGTCAAGAAAAACCTCCCTCGTTTCTCCACCAATATCCCACAACAACAGGCAAGAAATCCTGGGCTTAAGCAAGCAGAGAGATTGAGACTATTTCTTTATGAGAATCACCACTGAATTCATATTTGAAAACATCAATGCCAGCAGTGATGCAAGAAACAAACCAGGTTTCCAAGAGCCAGCCTGGTGCTTTATCCTTTTAACAGCACTGTTCCGTTATTTCATCGATGGCAAAGGCTTATCTCTGGACAATTCAGTCTGTGGTTACCCACTACAGGACCCCTGCAGCGTCAAATACGTAAGATTCTTAGAACTTGGATCCAACTGTAAGCTCCCTGCCGGATGGGATATGACTGCTTTCCAGCGGTAGTGTCTGGACATCAGCATGTTCCTAATGAAACTTGCTGACTCAAGTATCACTGAATTTGTAATTAAAAAGATGTTTCCCATACAAGTTATCTGCAAATGTATAGAGATAAGATTATCTGTGTCACGTATTTATACTTAGAAGTCTCTATTTGGAAGCACTGGAATTTTCCCTGACAGTGGCTGCTTGAAATATTTCAGTTTCAAGCAAAAGAAAACAATTTGCTTTGCTCTTAGCACACAGAAATGAAGTAATTAGAGAGGGACGCTAAAGGATCACATCACTTACAGCTCTATACCCCTGTGTCTTCCACATATAGCCAGGACTTTAAGCTAAACTGGGATTTCCCTCTTCACTTACAGGCTGATTTGTCGCTAGGTACAAATCTGAATTCTGCAATTGGTTCTCCATCGTCATCGCTGTCGTCTTCCTCCTCCTCCCCTTCAGCCATGGGAGCCTCCTTTTTCTCCTCTTCTTTAGGAAATAGAAAGATTTAAGAGAAACATGTTTATTTTGCCCAAAAAAAGTTATGTTTGTTTATTCTTTCAGGAACACACACATAATCAAATCAGAAACCTGGACACAATCTGAGAGGCACAATCAAACCCACTCCCACCCACATTACAGATATAGGAGGTCCTCTCACAGCACCTCAACACCACTTGCAATGCATACAAAAACTTCTCTATTTATAATTTTAGGACTTCAGATTTCTGTAACATGCACATGATGTATCCACGTACTTCAGAAAAACTGCCTGATTCTTATTAGAAACAACTGTGCTCAAAAAACCCCACGATTCACAGTCATTATCGTTTACTTGCACAATGCTATATATGTATTTTTTTTAAACCACATTAATTTTACGGATCTTTAACACTACTGTCGTGAAAATCAACTATCTTCCAGGGTGGCCTCTCACAGAGGACTCTGACATTTACAGACTATCTCTACTCAATTTCTCATGTTCCTAGCCAGCCAGCAAGACGGCAGAGGTAGAAAGTGCACCCAGAGCCAGTGGCAACTGTGGGCAAAACTGTGCTTCCTGACTTCTGTGCGCTACATACATGAATAAGTAAAATGTGACATTTTTATTTTCCATAAATATAAAAACCACAAAGATGTCTACAGTTCATCACTTTTGGGCTTGGGACGCTGAATTATTTTCTACAGAAAAAGAGGAATACAGTTAAGGCTGTTCCACCGAAAGTGGCTTTTATCACATACAAAACTGGCACCACCAAGACTATAAAGAAGCCAGGAAGCTGCCAGCCAGCTGCCCCAAAAAACGGAGCGTCCAAGGGCTTTTCCAACTGACACCCGCAGGCACAGCTTGTTGCTGCCGAGTCCAGCTCTTTGTTTTCAATGAAGTCAACCTCTGACTGCCTTTTTCGAAAAAAAAAGAGGCGAGGATAAGGCACATAGACACACAGAGCACAACAAAAACTTGCAGAGGAAGAACAAAATGTACCCTGCCCAACTAAGAAATGAAGACTCCTGCAGCCAAAGAAGTGGAGAGTTTTTGGTTTAACACTATTCAGCAGTCAAAACTGCAGGCCAGGGATAGACTTGAAAAATAAACAAATCTTCTACTTGCTGTGGAAAACTTACTGTAGCCAGAGGTCATACATTCAAAAAAACCCAACAAACAAAAAACCACCAAAAAATCAGTCCATTATGGATTTATAGATAAGAATTATCACAGGATATCTGTATTTTCATAAACCATTATCAGAAAGAATTAAGAACAGTATCTTTCTTCAGACTAGGTTCAGTTTACTTCAAAATAAACACAATTAAAGGAAAATGAGGAAGCAGAACCAAGAGGTGTACATACACGTTCTCTTATTACCTGTAGTGATAGACTGTCAGAGAATATTAGTAACATGAGAGAAGGAAATAATGGAGAGTTACAAGAGCTTAAAAACACCTCTGCCTCCTCAGAGTCTTGTCACTACTTTCAGTATATAGACTATTTAAAGAAAAATTAAATGCCAGATTTTAACCTTCAACTACAATGACTAGTAGGCATAAAGGGGAAAGGAGACCTGCTCAAGACTTAACACTCGCTTCTCTTCAGCTGAGATGGCAGTTTATGACACACTTAAAAGATTAAAAGCTCTGCCAGAGGAAAAAAAATAAATACATCAAAAACATAGAAAATCTGCATACAAACAATGAAACACAAAGCTTTTTTCTCTAGGTCAAAGCAAGAATGGTCAAATGTTGGTTTTGTGGGAAGTCTATTAAAGATCCATCAAGCCTGGTAACACAAGCTACTGGGGTTTTTTGGGTTTTTTTGGTTTTTTTTTAAGCAAGCTGCAGGAGAAAATTAATGAAAGCTTGCAGGCTAATGTGAAACAGCAGGAA